CTCCTCTCTCTCTCTTTCTCTCCTTTCTCTTCTCTCCCTTTCCCTTTCTCTCTCTCTCCTCTCTCCTCTGTCTCCCTCTCTCTCTCCCCCTCTCTCTTCTTTCTCTTTCTCTCCTCTCTCTCTTTCTCTCCTCTCTCTACTCCCTCTCCCTCTCTCTTCTTTCTCTTTCTCTCCTCTCTTTCTCTCTCTGATTGCCCAAATGGCGCAGCAGGACCTTTGCAGAGTTATTTCCCCAACTAGGTCAGAAGGTGGAGAGAGATGCTCTTGGACCAGGGCAGGCTCAGCGTTTAGGAGCACCCCCAATTCCCTTCCTCTCACGGAACCTCTCAGCTGGATGCTTGCCTCCCCTGGCCCAGCGAGGGGGACCTACCTGGCTAAGCAGGGCTGGCCTGCCTCCCTCTCCCTCCCAGGCCCCTTGCAAAGCACATGGGGGGCTGGACCAGGCAGGGGTCTGAATCTCCTAGCACCGGCCTGATCTTTCAGGAAGCAGAACCGGAAGGCGATGGTTCTTCCACCCACCGCTGGTACCATTCAAAGTTACCATGGCACTGAAAAAAGTGACTTATGACCCTTTTTCACGCTTACGACTGTTGCAGCATCCCCACGGTCACGAGAGGCCAGGCGAGGAGATGCGTGCCTCGATGTGAGTGATGTTGAGTTGGCCACGCCCAGCCAATCACATGACCACCAAGCCACGCCCACCAACTAAGCCACGCCCACAGAACCAGTTTTAAAAGATTGAATCCCACCCATGTTTTTAGCTTACAATAAAGACCACAATGTGTGCTTCTTGACCAGACCAGCCTCAACAGGGCGAGGTTAACCTGCTTCTGCTGTTCGGGAGGAAGAGAGCCGATTCTGGCTTTCGGTTTTGGTCGTCCTCTCCTCTCCTCTCCACGTTCTCGTGGAGATGCCATGCCTCCTCCTCTCTTGTGTTTCCGTTCCAGGCGCCAGACCGTCACGAGCACGCCCTGCTGGATCGAGCTCCACCTGAACGGCCCCTTGCAGTGGCTGGACAAGGTCTTGACGCAGATGGGGTCCCCGAGCATCCGTTGCTCCAGCATGTCTTAAAAGGATGAGGAAAAGTGGAAGCAGGTCAAGTCTTGAGTAGGGACAAAAGAGGTCAGCCTCTCTTCGGTAATGTACAGAAACAAAACAAAACAGAAGCGGCTGTGTCCTTCCAAGGCCCAGCCGTTTCCTTCTTCTGTTCAGTGAAAGATTTTGTTGGATATCCTTGACTGGAGCAGAGACTTTGTGGGTTCGGAGGAGCCACCCAAAAGCTTTGAGATGCCCAGGTGGGGCCTCGGCTCCATGGGCAGCTTGGCTGTCTAATTTAGGACAAGGCAGGCTGTGGCTGATGGGCTTTGCGAGACAGGGTGGCACTTGGCAGCCATTCTTGGGAGGGTAGAGAGCAGGGAAGCGGTTCTGTCTGCTCCCTGCCCTTCCTCCTTCCTACCTCTTCGTGCGAGGAATTCCCACTTGGCGCCAGGCCCATGGGGGAGAAGAACCGGGGCACCTTCTAATATTCCTTTTCTGAGCAGCTGCCTGGGCGATGGTGCGTTTTTCTCTGCCAACCATTTGGAAGAGGAGATCGTCCTCCTCATTTGCAGGCCCGATGGATCAGGTGCCATTAACGGAAGAGGAAGAGGACTCGGGGCCCCAAGGAAAGCGCTGACTCCTCTCATACACGGAAACGGACCCTGGGATGATCCCGCAGCGAAGGCCTCCTGTGTGTTAAAGGCAAAGTGTCCCCAGCTCGTCCCCCGGCCTTCAGTCCCTATTGGAAGGTGGTTTCTCCTTTGGACTTGCTCGGAACCTGCCACTTCTTCCGTGCTGTCCTGCTGGGCTCATGATCTTCTCAAGAACCTCTGAAAGGAGGGCGGCTTTTGGAAAAGCACGTTTGCCTGCCCTGCTTCCAAAGCTGCCTCTCAAAAGCATCCGCTGGAAGGTTTAGGGTTTCCTGCCTAAGCAGGGGGTTGGACTAGAAGACCTCCAAGGTCCCTTCCAACTCTGTTATTCTATTCCAGAGGTTTTCAAACTTGGCAACTTTAAGACTTGTGGACTTCAACTCCCAGAATTCTCCAGTCAGCATAGCTTTTGTTGCCAAGTCCGGGGACTTCTATTTCTATTTCTATTTCTATTTCTATTTCTATTTCTATTTCTATTTCTATTTCTATTCTATTCTATTCTATTCTATTCTATTCTATTCTATTCTATTCTATTCTATTCTATATTATGTTCTGTTAAGGGAAGAAGACAGCCAGCCAGAACTGTTCTGGAGCAAAACTGGCCAGGAGAAACTTAACACGCCTTCCTCACCAATAGGATCTCCTTGGTCATTTGACTCATCTGCTGAAACGGATCTTTTTCCGTCCATCAAATCGGAACAGCCTGACCACAGCACCGGCTCCAAGATGATTTAATTGACCGTGATTACTGTTTGGATTCTTGTAACTAAGCAAACCTCTATAAACAGATTTGGAGCCCTGCTTACTGCTCTTCAAAGCCAGTTGTGGGTGGGTGGGTGGGTGGATGTGTGCAAGGGTTCTACAGTGGCCAGTAATTCTGGTTCTAATCCGCTTCGTGATTGTGAGGGTGAAATCCACGTTTTTGCGATCAGAAGTTAAGTGTTATTCATCACCAGTCAACCCATCTGGAATTGTTCAGAAATTTGGACCTACTTCTAGATTCTCAAGACTTAAACACAAAGAAACTTGGTAACCAGTTCCCAGAAGCTGCGAATCCATTATTTTTCCTCAGAATTGAGCAGATTTTAATTAAAACCTAAAAAGCTAAAACAATACCGAAGAACACAATTCACCTCGTGGTCAAGTAACTCAAAGCATTTAACTGTATTGAGTAGGTTGTATGTCTGTTCAGGTTGGCTGACTGGCAAATATTTGGGAATGCAGATAAGAAATACCTTTTAAATTTCAGATTAATGTCTTGACGGGTTGTTTAAAGTTCAGTATTAATCTTGTCGGCCTTCAGAAACAGAAATGGCTGCCTCAGAGGACCCTAAAATGCCTTGTTCTCAATCTGATTAATATACAGTATATATGCAGCATCTGAAACCCAATTGGGTTTTTCGT